AACTTGAGAACTTAACACAATGTCCCACCATCTACAGCAATCTTTTCACCAGGAACTTTATTATGTTATTACAGGTGATGAAAAATGGGTTTTGCATGTCAACAAAAAATGAAAAAGACAGTGGTTATCATGAAATAAGAAACCAGTAACAATATAAAAATCAGGAGTCCATTCACAAAATTCTCTGCTTTGTTTCTGGTGGAATAGGAAAGGTATCATCCATTACAAGCACTTAGAACATGGATAGAACATCACTGCAGGTGATTATTATCCCCTTCAACTTCAGCAGTACATTGAAAGTGTCCTGCTTTGGTAAAAGGAAAAAGCTGTCATTCTCCAGCATGACAATGCAAGGACACACACTGCAAAAATAAAATAATTAGGATGGGAGTTTGTCTTATCTGATTTTCTATGTAAATGTGAACTCCAAAACTCCGACAGTCCACACATCCAGAGCGCTTCCCTCTGACTGAGAAAAAGCTGGTGTTATATAGCTCTCTCTCTCGGTCCCAGACCCCACACTGACTATTGACTAATACCTGCCTAGTATTGTTTGTAAGCAAATTTTGTTAGTACCGCATACTCTAAGTAGAATGTCCTCTCTCAACAGCTAATTGTTGACGTAACTCCTGGTGCTTACTGTACTACATATGACCAACTCTGGGACACTTGTTGGGTCAACTCAATTTTCCATTATAGGGAGGTTTCTCCACATCTTCCATACTTACCAGATTTAGCTAAGTTAAAAACTGTCTTTCAAATTTTTTCAGGGAAAATCCAGATTTCTTTAACTGTGGAATGAAAGATTTGCCTTTCAGGTCAGCTGCAGTCACTGAAATTGTAATTGATTACATTTTTGATAAATGATATTCAAATAAATTTCACTTACATTTGTCTTTTATATCCTTTCTGGTAAACCATCCTGGGTAAGATGATAAACTACATCCACGTCCTGGGTATGATGATAAACTACATCCAACAGCAAGGCCTCTGATCAGGAGGTTTTGAGGAGAGTGGAACCACCATGTAATTGCTTGTGTTCCCAGCTCCACCCTGACCCAGGGTGGTAGCACCTGTTAGGGTCCCAGCTATGGGCAAATAGTTTACATCCAAACTTGTGTAAAAATAGGTTTTAATACCAGAAATACTTTGTAATTAAAAAAAAATTGTTACCAGCAATAATTTTTGAATGAAAAATTATTATCAGCAATACTTTAAAAAAAAATACCAGCAGTACAAACAGCTATACATTCTTTGGAAAAAATATGACCAGCTATAGATTTTTAAAGAAAATCATTACCAGCAATAAAAATCTTGTCAGCATTAAATAACCCATTGAGGTTGATATGCCGTAATACAAACCAAACCTTTCTGGTAAAATGTAATTACTTTCCAAACACCTTAATATTCAATTTATTCAAGTAATATTAAGTTTGTACTCTCCCTTAATTAAATGCACAGAATTGTTTTGCACATGGATAGCTTTTAAAAATGCAATATTATAATAATTAATATTTATTGTTTATTACTTTCTGCAGTCATAGTAAATACAAATGCATCTATCTGTAATTTGATTTCACTCTCTACTCTATTAACACTTCCTACTGATTTTAATTAATTGATATTCATGTCGGACAGGTTCTCAGGATCTGTGAGGCTATGTTTTTCCAATCCACACTGCCTGCTTTTAAAGATCACAGAATCTAAATAACTCTTGTACTGAAAAAAAAATGGCTTACCGCCTGAACAAAAAATGGATTCAGACATGTTTCACATATAAAATATTCCCAAAAAGAAAATGGTGGCTTTATGAGTCATATATTTAAAAAAGAGATAGATCTTGGAATCGGATACTTTCACAAGACTCTCTTTATACCTATGCAAATTTGACCTGTCATTTAATCTATAAAACATGCTTAACAAGGTGACAGAGCATGCACCTGTTGTAACAAACTGGAGACACATGTTGTATAATTTATTGACTTATACTACTCTGTTAGTTGAATGAATTAAAGAACTTTGTTACAAGACAGAAAAAACTAACTACCGGAACCAAAAAGGTGAAAGAAAAATTTAAATCATTAACAAAAATTCTTCATGTAAGAAATTCAGACAAATCTAGCATGTTTTTGCTTAATCTAATTTCAAACGATTCAATGTTTTGGAATCAGGTTTTGTCAGAATTCAATCTTTCAATTAATTGTTTGAAAATGCTCCATTAATCAACATAAAAATCTATTTTATATCATATACAGGATTCACATCTTTTAATCAAGCAGAAGGAAATCTAACATTGAAAATAAATCAAGTGGAAGATTTTTTCATGTTTGCTGTCATGGTTGAATTCCTCACTAAAAAACAAACTTAGATGTTAGAATTTCATTTGCATGGATAGTATGATCAAATTTGAATGACATCTGAAAGTCAAAAATGGGGTAAAAAAAAACATCTGAAAGTGCAACTATATTTAGTCAAAGTAGAAACAGTCCTTTTATATGGATCAAACAGTTGAACATTAATAAAATCACTACCAAAAGAAGAAAAAAAGCTAGCTAGTATGTATATTCAACCAGTGAGAGTAACACTAAATTCAATTTACAGGGGATTTTTTGCATTCTGCTGTCTGAACAATCTACTCTTGTAAATTGAATAAAGTGTTCAGTTTGAAATTTCTTGAGAGTTACCCAGATCAATAGACAGCTGAAGAAGACTGGAGAGCACAATGGCCAAAACATTGTGATCATAACATTGATAATCTTTTCATCCCAGAAATTCAGACCAAAATTTACAATTTTTATTATTGTTCACTACAATTTACTCAGTTTCTTTATCCTCATGTAGTAAGAGTTCAAGTCTTCAGTAATTGACTTTCTATCTATAATAATAGTACATTGAATGCATTTTAATATTTTTATGTACGTCTTATTTTCTAATAGTGCATTTTGTAGTCCAGTGTGTGTGTATGAGACAGACAGACAGACTATGAACACATGTGTACAGGAAGAAGATGTGATTTTATCTTGATCTGGAAGGTTTCTGTTTTACGGCCAGCAAATTGTTCTTTGAAATTTGGGCATCCACTTTGACCAAAAGGTAACAGAAGAGTGAAGATGAGAGCTTTTAGAGTTCAAGTGACAAGAAAACCATACATAGGGTGTATCCAGTTGCTGGTCTTGGTCAGTCCTTGGTGGGGAGTGGGGGAAAGGCTTGTCTGTCATGGGTTTCAATATCATCCATTCATATTGTCAGGCTCACTCTGTAGATGAACAGGGTGTGGTAGAGTTACCCAGATCTGTACTGCTAGACCAGATATAGCAGAAGTGGTGAAAACGCATGTAATATGAGAAGCAGGGTTTGTGTTTTCATTTCTCAATGTGGTGTTTGTTTTTCATCTCCGTTAACTTGTTAGCATGCAGCCAGGCCCTTTCTCAGTTTTTAGTGCATACTGATGGGAACACAAACAGAATGCAATATGAGTAGGTCATTGGCTGGTCAGTGGAAAGCTTGGCTGAGGATGACATTGTGTTTACATGTGTGAATGATTCAGTTTAAGTAAAAAAAAAAAAAGGAGATATGATTTTACCTTTTGGAGATCCTTTCGGCCAACACTTTATCAAAAGGTGAATGTTGGCAAATAGAAAAAAATAATCACTGACACACTTGCAAATACTGAATGAGGAAGGGAAATTGGAACATGATTAAAACAGATTTTAAATGTAATTAAACTGATGATTAAAAACAAATATAAAAGGTTCCAAAGAAAGGTATAAAATAGAAAAATTTCACTTGTATTCCCCTGATCAAACATAAGGAATGAATGAAGTGTTCATTTTGCTTATGTAGTCTCAAGAACTCTAAGATGGTGGGCTTTTCTTCTTCTGTGGATTCAAGTCATTATGTATATATAAATGATCCTTAAAAATCCATTCGATTATAATTTATTTCATGAATATATTTATCTCTTCAGACCAAAGTTTTTTTTAATAAATGGAAAAGGGAGAGGGATAATATAATATTAATATATTAATATAAAATATATATGATTTTATATTATATAAATTCTTTTTTCTTTTTTCCTCTCCCTACAATATTGACATTGCTGCATTAAATGGCCTACTGGATGTTTGCAGTCAGAAGTGGTCAAAGGTGGATATGTATATTTCTGGTCTGGCAAAAGCGAGTAAGGACTCTGTCAATCTGGTATAGGCTTTGCTATAAAATTAGAAATAGCAAAATCCATGCCTTCTCTGTCAAAATGTGTTTTGGTTTGTATCATGACACTGGCCCTGAACTTATAAAACAATATTTGTGCCATATTAGCAAGTTGCTATGTGCCTACCATGTCCAGCTCTTAGCAACATAATGATGACTTTAATAACTAACTGCATGATATGAATATTTTTTGTTTCAATGTGTTTTTATTGTTTGATACTGTTTTTTGTTTCAATGTGTTCTTATTGTTTGAAACAATGATTTTTGTTTCAATGTGCTTTTATTGTCTAAAACAATGTGTGTTTGTTTCAATGTGATTCTATCATTTGAAACAATGTGTGTTTGTTTCAATGTGATTCTATCATTTGAAACAATGTGTTTGTTTCAATGTGATTCTATCATTTGAAACAATGTGTGTTTGTTTCAATGTGATTCTATCATTTGAAACAATGTGTGTTTCAATGTGATTCTATCATTTAAAACAATGTGTGTTTGTTTCAATGTGATTCTATCATTTGAAACAATGTGTGTTTGTTTCAATGTGATTCTATCATTTGAAACAACGTGTGTTTGTTTCAATGTGATTTCAATCATTTGAAACAATGTCTATTTGTTTCAATGTGATTCTATCATTTGAAACAATGTGTGTTTGTTTCAATGTGATTCTATTTGAAACAATGTATTTTTGTTTCAGTGTGTTTTTATTGTTTGAAATAATGTTTTTTTTTTGTTTCAATGTGCTTTTATTGTTTAAAATAATGTTTTTTTGTTTCAATGTGTTCTTAAAGGGCTTCGAGGATTGGAGAAGAAAATGCAAATGCACTTTATTCATCATACTGTGAATATCGAATGTCCAAATTATTCAGGACCCAAACTCAAACAGGTTAGCTTTGTTCTTTATTCTTAATTTCCTTCTTTTTTTTTATCTTTTATTTCACCCATTAATGCCTATTTTGGGGCTACACATACGTACCCACAGGGTCATTCCATGTCAAAACACCAACAAAAAGTTGAAATCTGCACCCACTGACACTGAATTACTTGAAATTTGGCACAAATATTCCCCTTCATGAGTTAGGAAAGTGTGCCAAATTATTTTCTGCTAGACTTTACCATTCCAATTTTAAGGGAGGGGGTGTATAATTTTCCTATTTTGCCTCTAAATTAAGGCCGTGCAATGTCGCCAAATTTCAGTGTTTTTTAAAAATTAAAGAAAAATACTTCCATACCTTCAATATTTCTGGAATTTGGTATGTAAGGCAAATAAGAAGTGTAGAATCCAAATATTTAACTATTTCAAGCCTACACTTGATAGAAAATTTTATTTTGCTCACCCAAATACATGACCCCAAAATCAACAACTTTTCACCTATGTAGCTTACGGTCAGTCTATCAAAAATATGTCCTCTTCAATTTTCATAATATTTTTTGCCTAACGTCTACAATGTCTGCTGAAGTTCACCAAAAATTTTTGAGGGTTTTAAGTCTACTTTAGAAGATATAATACTGCCAAGTTTAGAGTTTTTTCCTACGTATGTGCAGGATTTCCGAGAAAGATTATAATTAAAGACAATTATCCTAATACTCCATGACCTAAAATGTTGATATTGTGCTAAGTTAACTTCTTAAACTATTCAATAAGATTGTTTTTATTAATTTAAAAAAAAAATTATTTAAATATATTTTTCAGATATTACTTTTTGTACTTATAGATTGTCTTTAAAAAGCGGTAAACATTGCCTCATGTATGATAATCAATAGTGCATAGAAAATTTGTAAATGGCACTTAACAAATGAAGTTAAAAGAAATTCTTTCTGTTTGTGTTTCTTTCAATTTTATTTTGGTAAATTATTTTCATGAAACAAAAAAACATTTGATTTTTTTCATTCTCAAAAAAGTCATAAGATAAATGTGAATCTTTAAAACATAATATTTGAAGTTAGCACTTAACATATTTATATGGTATAAGGAAATGCTTTCATTACTTTTTTAAATTTTCATTTTTATTTTTTAAATAATTTTTCAAAATTATTTTCATAAAAGATAAATATTTGAATTTTGTTTCATTCAGGAGAAAATCATAATAAAAATGAATATACAAAGAATCTTTAAAAGATTATTGTCGCACTTGCAACAAACATATCATGAAACAAAAAAAAATTTACTGGTTTTTCTTTAGCCCCAATAGAAAAGTCATATATTAGGTCATAGTTTTCATCTTTGCTACATTGTTTCATAGCTATTTTATCTCTGGTGAGTGGAATAAATTGATGAAAACTTCTTGTTCCTGTGACTGTGGATGCATTTTCAAATCTCATGGTGAGACTCTTCCTCACTTCCTCAACTTCTTCCTTTTCAACCAGAATGAATTTGATACCTTCAATTGCAGATTTACAATATTCAAACATAGATTCTGTCGAAAGGATTTGTTTGGTAGTTGGTCTTCAGAGATTTTCTTTTGACACTATCCTTTTCACTGTCCCACCTATGCCATCACACGGTTGTTTACCATGACTTGTTGCAAAGAAATTCCATTTTGCATTGAGCCCAAAATCTTTCTGATGGTTGCACAAATTGGCAAAGTTCTTATAGTTCTTGTATTGCGCTGCACAACTATCAGTAAAATACTCAATATTTTTTATGTTTGGCAAGGTAGCTTTGATTACCTCAATAATTTTTTTATGTACCATATAAACAAATTCTACATCATGTGAGTTGTGACTCAACATAATGCAGAAACATTCACTTTGCATGTATTTTCAAGCTTAAAGTAGAGTACCACTGGATGTAAAGTACATTGTGAAGTATTCCAATGATAACTCTGGATCTCATATTGAACTATAAATTTGTAGTTCTCGGCAAAATCTCCCAGGAACAAAATTTCACTATCACTAATCTTCTCTTTTCTTTGCTTTAATTACCTTGATTATGATTTAGCCAAGAATGAGGTGCTAATTTATTCAGTTGCAAAACAACTAAATCAATGTAAGCTTGACAGGATTCTTTTTGTGTTGTTAAAGTCGATTGGTCAGTTGTTGTCCATTGAGAGAAATCTATTGATTCAGCATTATCAATATATCCTTCCATGGTGTCATAAAGAAATTTTTCAAGCTGCCCTGATGAATTAGGACAATTTGGGAACCTATGAATAATACACTCTCTGCTACTGATATTACAGACAATATATTTGCAGAGATCTTTATATGATACATTTAGTGGTTCCAGTAATAAATTGAGTCAATTGCTTCTTCCACTGTGATGAAATTTTTCTCCCCAGAATCGATACTTCAAATATACAAATCAGCCATTCACCCTTGCATGGAGTATTATTACCATATATGGTCTGGGGCACCTTCTGTTTACCTCGGAGTTCTTGACAAGATCCAGAGACGGATATGTCTGGCGTCTCGTCTAGAGTCACTCTCTCACAGACGCGCTGTCGCCTCTCTCTGTCTTTTCTACAAATACTTTCATGGTAATTGCTCCGATGAGCTGCTTTCAAGCGCCCTACGAGGCTGGCATCCCATTCCAACCCTTACACTGTAGAAACTTTTAAATGTAGCTGTCTCTTCTACTCCAATAGCTTCATACCTCGCACCTCTCACCTGGAACACCCTTCCCAATTCCTGTTTCCCTGAAAGCTATAATCTCCAACTATTCAAATGTAATGTCAATCGACACCTCCAGTTACCTTGATCTACCCACTATCCTTCTCCTCATCCTTTCTTCTATCTCTCCTATCTGCTCTCGCTCCAAATCTTCTGCAACCCCCTGCATCCTAGTGGCTTCACGCCTTGCTCGGGGCGTAATGCTTAAAAAAAAAAAAATAATAATTTCATATTTTGGTGGATAGTGCATACACATACAACATTCATACCTGCACTACCAACAAGAACACACCATTTTGGCCTTAGACTACAAAATTTTAAAAATTCCAAAGGTACTGTTGAGTTCTGTTCCTTGAATGCTCTGAAGAATTCATTTAAGTTGCATAAGATAAGTCTTTTCTGCTGATGAATATTACGTTTAATTCTAACGTAGTCTTTCCTGCCTGGCATCAGTTGAGTATATTCATCATCTTGGTAAAATGCTTCCACTAACTGTGCAATATCAGCAGGCAAAGACTTGCCCCTTTTTGGTTCTGGCACAGCTTAAATACCTCTTTCCCAACACAGTTTGCAAGCCTTGTGTACAATGTGTTCTGAAACACCAAACACATCCATGACTTTTTTGTGTGATCAGTTTGTAGGGACAAGTTTCAAGATCTGTATTTTGATTTTAGTTGATTCTACTGTCTTCACTTTTTCTACAACAAGCTCTATCATTTTATTAAAGCACTTAGCTTTAAAATCTAAAATCTCTTTTTCGATTTTTAAAGCCTCATCATTCAACAGCTCATAGTCAACGTTTAATGACTTGGCTACTTTGGTCTTTACACATTGCATTGCAGAAAAATTTTTTCTCTTATCTAAAGTAGCTTTTCCTGAGTAATGAAGCCCTTTTGTTTTCAGTGGAGAAATTCCAATAGCAGAGAAACATTCATTGATATTTATCTTCTCTGTTTCTGCAGAAGTATTTTTTTTTTTTTTTAAGCATTCAGCCCCAAGCAAGGCGGGAAGCCACTAGCACGCAAGGGGTTACAGAGTTGGAGTGAGAACAGAGAGGAGCGATAGAGAAAAGGATGAAGAGACTGTTAGGGGATAGAACAGGGCATCTGGAGACGTCCATTGACGTTACATTTAAATAGTTGGAGATTATATCTATCAGGAAAACATGAAATGGGGAGGGAGTTCCACAGGTGAGAAGTGCAAGACCTGAAGCTATTGAGACATTTAACAGTTTTGACAGTGAAAGGGTGAGAGCGAGATGCCAGCCTAGTTGAGCGCTTCAATTCATGAAGTCTGGGAAGCAGTGAAAGCAGCAAAAGCAGCTCATTGGAGCAGTTATGGTAAAAGTATTTGTAAAAAAGACAGAGGGAGGCAATGGCATGTCTGTGAGAGAGTGACTGCAGACAAGATGCCAGATCAGGGCCAGTTACATTGCATATCTGTCTTTGGATTTTATCAAGGACCTTGAGACAATTAGAAGGGGCTCCAGACTATATATGGCAGCAATACTCTATGCAAGGGTGAATGTTGTATTAAGCTCTTTCATTTCCTCATCTGATACGTGTCTTGGTTCTTCATTATTACTACTCTTTTCTGATTCTGCAGAAATACCTGCTTCAAGTTCTTGTATTTCCTCATCTGATACATGTCCTGGTTCTTCATTGGGAGGTTGTGGATTTCTATTCGACAATTAGGGCAGAGTTTCTTGCTTGGGACCAACTTAGCCTTAGCCTTGTCTGCCATCTGCAATGAAATTGGTTTCAAACCACCTTTGATTTGCATTTTATGATTTTTAAATGGATTACATCTTTTTTCAAGCCATTCATACTTAGTCAACAAGGTCTGCTTGTAATGGTAACAGTCTGTATTTTATCCTCGTCAAGACCTGTTCTATATGCAACAAGCTTTGCATCCAACTGATCAACTGAAATCAATACAACCTGTTTATCATTGAATAAACCATGATATATTTCAACTGTTAGCTCAGTACAAATAGAACAATTCATCTTTAACTGAAATAAGAAACTACTGTACTTCAAATCCAGTGTGCAAGTAAAAAATCCAAGTAATTAGAAAAATACCACCTTTCTCCTTGGATACTGGATGGTAAGTGAAAGTTGTTTCAGGACCAGACAGTGCATAGTTTAGTTTAAATGTAATCTTTTAAAGACTCTTTTATATTCAATTTTATTATGACTTTCTTCTGAATGAAACAAAATTCAAATATTTATGTTTCATGAAAATAATTTTGAAAAATTATTTAAAAAATAAAAA